ATCTCTTTGGATTTGAGACTTTAGTCTTTGCAACTTTACAGATCTTCTTTATGCACCAAGAGCTTGTAACACTCCAAAGAGAAAGGAAAAATTTAAATCGCATCATATGACCCCTTTAAGACTTCTGTCTATTCCTTAGTAAAAGTTTGTCTCAGCAGCTCTGTGAGTAGGTTTTAAGAGAAAACTCTTAGCTAAAAACTTTTACTGCTATTTAGGAGAACTCTTAGTGGTAAGGATACAATCTTTTGTGAATACGGGCCCAGGTCACCTTACTTCTGGGCTTCCATGTGATCACGTGATAATTAAGTATTTGGCGGTAATCAGAAACAAAATAGCGACAGTGAGTAATGATCAGTGTTGGGCAAGTTACTTCCAAAATGTAATACATTATATATTACTAGTTACTGTCTTTTGAAAGTAATTAGTTACATTACAATATTACTGTCTCTGACTTGTAATGCGTTACACTACTTTTGAGTTACTTTTGAGTTACTTTCACCAAAATATCCACAGACTTATGACTAGGCATTCTAAAATGCTAAAATGTAGTTTATTGCTGCTCATTAAACATCCAGTAGTTCATAATGTGCTAGGTATATATTGTAACTTGCGTTACTGAGATTGTAACGAGTAATAATATTACCCAAATTTGATTAGTAATGCGTTATATTACTGCGTTACAGCAAAACGTAATATACTACTGTAATATTATTACTTTTGTAATGCGTTACTCCCAACACTGGTAATGATGACCCACCTTTGAGTTTCGGCAGCAGATCTTTGGTGATGTTCGCCACCTGTGCCACTGCCGACCACGACAGTCCTCGCGTCACTGCGAGCATCACACTCTCATACACAAACTCTCGATGGAAATACTGGCGTTTATCATCACCATCAAACTCCGTCCAGTCAAAACAGACGCTCGACAGCTTCATCTGTCTGAAACAGCACGTATCATATGAGCTTTGAGACAGGCGCCGTGTGTTAATGCGCGCAGACGGCCTTTCTCAGCTGCTGCTGATGATGATGATGATGGATCTACTGTATCGTGACTGTGGATGCGTCGCGCGTTTACGCTTCTGTCAACAAGTGCGCGCAGGTAAGAGCCATCCATTCACTGTATATCTCGCGCTGTTTGCATTCGTGTTTATTTGTCTGAGAATGTAATGAAATCAGAGTTAAAGCGCTGCAGGTTTACCTTCATCCTCGAAATCTCCTGTAATGTGTGTGTGTGGAGGCCATCATGAGACTCACTGCTGCTGTTGTGCTTGTTGCCACGGAAAGCCAGAGGACTTTAAACTGCACACCGTGTTTCTAATGTATGTTTTATGTTCTGTTTTACACGCATGCATGAGCTTATATCTGGTGTAAACTTTATTCATAACAATATTGTGATATTAATATTAATTCTATAATGTATGCTTTCATAAAACTGCACTTTTGAAACAATGTTTGTTCAAGTCATAACAATATTATGATATTAATGTTAATATCGTATTATATAATTAATTAAATCATTATCATTGCCATTATGTGTGTATATATATATATATATA